CCCCCCCGAGAGGGCTTTGTTTCCATGCCTTCCAGCCAAAGGGAAGAAACACCTCCCTCCATTCCTTCAACTTGTGGGACCAGAAACTCAAGGAATACTGGGAATTCATCACAGGCCCTCCCATCTAGTAGAGCTGACATCCTCAGAGATGGCTTGTGCTACAAAGGGAACACTTGACTGCAGAAAGATAAAAACATTCACTCGGTTTTACCTGATCAAAAAGCTGGTGCTGGGCAAGGTATCCTATGCTGTTCTGAAATTACAGCAGAGAAAGAAAAAAATGCACAGTGAGATAGAGGGTGAGAGTTCTCTGTCGGTTCATTTACTCATAGGCAAGCAGAACTTACTCACAGACAACATCCATTTCCGATGTCCTGTTTCAGAGCACTAGAATTGTTTCAGCGGCTGACTGGTATAAGGGATCTTCCAAAATAGTAACTTACAGCTGCACTGAAACTGTAAGAGTGCAGATACACCCCCACAATCCACAAGTTATCTAGCTCGAGTCACTGGGAGAAGCCTAGCTCTAACCCTGCGGAGTGTGGACAGTTCTGTTGTCAATCCTGCGACAACGCTCTGCACCTTTACTGCCAGGCCCTGCTGGCACACAGAGGAGTTCACCTCCACTCCCTGTTTGCAAAGGCACGTGGTCCCTTCTGCCAGAAGGCTCGGGAACAGAGACAAGGGCTTCAGACCCCCAGCTGTGAAAGGACAGGGACATCCAATTGCTAACCAACTTTTTATTTTTTTTACCTGGTGGAAGGTGAATTTGGGTCTTGGTCCTAGATCACAAAGCAGCTCCATAACCAAGAGGAACAAACCTGCGGGCTGAGCAACCCTCATCCTTAGACTCCACCATTCAGGTTTTTGCTGCAGAAGGGATCTACCCATTCATCAAATTCCAGCTGCTGTACGTTTGATTATAGATAAAAATCAAACCTAGCTATTGTTGCAATAACAACTTGTAGCTTCAGATCTCAAAAATACGTCAAACCTTTTAATTCAGAGCTTATAGCACACCCCCTCCCCCGCCATCACCTCTAAGCGCTTTTGTTCCGCGAAGCAGCTCTGTACCATTTGGAGCTGAAGCAAAAGGAGAGCAACAGACCTCATTCACAATATACTGGTGGATGAAGTCACTGACGGTCATGAGCTTCTGAGACCACTCTTCATCTGTGTATCGGGTACCCAGCTCCACAGGGACGGTGCGGCACCCTGCGACTTGACAAAAATAGTCCACACTGAAATAAAGAAAGTTCCGTTACCCTTTTATACTGCTCTCCTTACTAATTTTGAACGCAAGGCAACCAATCAAACCCAATCTTTTAGAGTAATAAAAGCCCACCACCACGAGCTGCTTCTCTCTAAACCCAGCCAACCAGAGCCAAAAGGCAGCAGGAAAGGTTGCACGCAGCAAGGAAACAAGCACTCGAGTTGGTGTGCACATTACGCCACAACTGCCCATTTTGTTTTAAAACCTTGTTTACCTCGGTTAACTCTTGCTCCCTCACGAGCTAAGGCGATTTAAGCTGTTGGCCTCTCTCAGCTGGGGACACCTCACCCTTCTGCTGCCACATTTGCTAAATAAAATGCTGCATCTTCATCATTAATGCTAGATCAACCCTCTGTCAGTGCCAAAGCCTGTATTCAGGTGTCAGTAACAGCCGTCCTGGCTGAAGCCAGAGGAAGGACTCTGACGGGTGGCACACATCTCTCTGTTGACGATGGCAGTAACTGAACGGGGAAGTTCATCTGTGGTTAGGCAGTGGAGTACCTCCCCTCAAAAAAGAACAAAACCCCTAAGAACAAACAAGCGTGTTCAGTCAATGCCAACTTTACCCTTAGCTGTGGAACGAAAGCAACCGCTCAGCCTAAGCACAAGTGTTTTTTCCCCTTTTCTAAAGAATCATGAGCTTTCTCCCACAAACATTCCATTCTCAGCATTGGAAACGTTGGCTCCAGTGCTTCCCTTACACAAGTAGCACAATATTATTACTCACTCTTGAATGGCGGTGTCCGAAACTCAACATTCAAACATGACACTGAACAAACATCAATGTACTTAAGGAAGAAATTTTTTACAATGAGGGTGGTAAAACACTAAAACTCAACGTTCAAACATGACACTGAACAAACATCAATGCTTGTACTTGGGAACAAAAAAGCCAGTCATGCTTACTCCCACACCTCTGAAATTCACTTTCCATTGCACTAATTATCAGCAAGTTCTGAGACACAAAAATCATCGCTCTGTGTCTGACACAGACCCACTTTGGACGTGCACAGCTCACCAGCACAGCTAGCGATGCAATGTCGTCGCTAGCTCCCAGCTGAGCAGCACAACAGTGTCGGCAGCTCGCCAGAGTGCTCCCCGCACAGCCCCAGGTGGCAAGGCTGAGGGCTGCCCCCCAGTGCTCCCCCGGCCAGGACCGGGCTTCCCCAGCAGGGCACTTACCATGCAATGCCCTGGATGGCTCGATGCGCTTCCCTCATCTATGGAGCAACTTCTCCAGGGCAAAGACAACATCGCAGCAGGAAGGTGCTGCCCACAAAAGTCACACCCAATGGCACCCGTCTGCTGTGAAGGTCTCTGCCGCTCTGCCGAGCATCGAGTCACCCGACACAGAAAATGATCCTCGCCCTTGCTAGGACAGGAAGAAACTCTTTATTTCTCACCTCCACTTCTTCATACACGGCCAGTGGTCAATGATCCCCTCTAAGACCACGGGCTTCTGTGGAATTAGGTAGTTATCTCTGAAATGCTCCAGCGAAGGGCAGCGAAGGTGTGGAAGCGCATCTTCCGGCTGCACAACCGGAACGGGGCGGGGGGCT